GCAAATATAGAAGCTTATTATGATGGACCAGGGACAGTGTTGGAAATTTTGGTCCCAAAGCTTCGTGAAGAGCCTGAAGAACATGAAGTGCGTGTTTGTCTTCGCCCTCATCTTGGTTGTAATGAACTTATGTTGACTTGACAAAATCCTCCCCGTTTCTAGTTACTGTCATCATGTATTGTGTTGTTGTCTCAAGTCATGTATTAGCATAATGGATTGGTAATTGGTTGCTACAATAATTATAACTAAATACAAGTTAAACTTAAATGTATGATATTGATGGACCTATTTAATGAATCAAAATTTATCCTCTATATAGACCCGAAATGGGTAGCTTTTGAAAATCATATATTATGTTTTATCTTTTATGGTTTGCTTTTGTTGGGCAATATCAAGATTTATGGTGTCGTTTTAACTTCCCTTTTATGTTGGATTATGGAAGGTGTTGTCACCCCTTTTTCTTTCTTGGTGGAAAAATATATCCACTTATCTTTGTGTTTCCACATATGGGCGGCTATCTTATGTCTAATATAACAACAATATCCTAGTCACATAAGAATTCAGAATTAGATAAGAGAAACGTTATAAAAAGACGCTACTTTTTGCAGACCATGTAAATTTTAGGTATTTCATCCAACCAGGTTACTATGTGAGTCTGCTAAATGTTATCATGGGATCTGGGTTTCACAAAACTCACATCCAATGTTGAGTGAATGTTGGGTGGATGTTAGTATTGACATGTGTCGACACACCATTGTCCATTGGGCACTTCTAAAAGGGGGATTTGGGAGGTTGAGGTGTTAGTTGGGGTAACTGTTTAATAATCAACTTTTAGTGAATTATCAACTTTTGTTGGGGATTGTGGAAGTTGACATGGAAAAAGCAATACAAGATGGATGAAGCCTTTTGTTATATTTTATGTTTAAATTTGAATCCGTATTAGTAGGCCTACAAAAACCCCATCAGGGGACATTTGTGTAAGTTTGCAACGTATTTCAACTTTTACTTGCTGAATAGATAAATTTTATTTTGAATGTATTTATCTTTTTTTTTAAGGAAAAAAAAAAAGAAGATGATGAAATTGCCACCAGGCAAATAAGTCGAGTAAACTCGTTGTTCTAATTGATGTCTCCCATTAGGGGATTGTGTGATTTGTAGGGAAATTAGTGAACATGGTGAACCTTATGTTGTACTTAATGTCTCCCATAATGTGATTTGTGTGATTGTGGATATGCTAACAACCAATCATATATTTTCATGAAGCTATAGTTTGATGATTTGATCATTGAAGTAAATCAATTTACTTTTCAAATTCAAAAAAATGTATTAAAGTTTAGGAACAAATACAAAATACAAAACTGTACATATCAAGTCCAATGGTAAATAATTATGTACCAGTTTTTATTTTATTTTATATATATATATATATATATATATATATATATATATATATATATATATATATATATATATTATCAAAAAGAGTTTTCCTCACATATTTACTATTCATTTCAACCTTGATTCCTGGTCATTGGATAGTCATACCATATACTCACTTTGGCCCTTGGATAGCCGTCATTCTCTTTCTTTCGCTCTATTCACAAATCCATTTCATTTTGTTTTTTACTAATTTCAAATCATAATTAAATTGTAAAGCCTTTAATACAATGTATCAAATAAAGATCTCTGAAAATAACAACTTTAAATTTGCACATAGTAACTTTTATATATTTACGTTTTCTATCTTCAAATATTTTTAGTCTAACAGTTTTAATACCTCATAATTTTAAAGATAAATTATTGGTCATTGTAAGTTTCTTTGATTCCTTATTATATTTTAAATTAACGTTTTTCATCCATTATATAATTTTTTATAGTTTTCATTTGTATTAATATTACTTTTGTTATTATGATTTTTTAATTAATTGTCATTTGTGGTATTAACCAAACAATATACACTTTCAAATCTTAGTTTTTGCCGTTTTATCCATACATAAATCTATTTATACTTTTGTGTGCGCTTAATAAAGAAGTCCCCGCTACAACGCGCGCAACTACGGTTTCACTCACATAATTATTGTTCATTTGCTTTAATAATTTCAGTCCAAAAAAGACTAAGTCCAGATCAAGATATAAGTTTTATAGAATATAATATAAGATGTGGAATAAGCATTTATAGCAAATTTATTTTTGTTAATAAAAAATTTCATATTTACATTTTCTACCTTAATATTTTTTTTATTAAACAGTTTTTATCCTTCGTAATTTTAAAATTAATTTATTCGAATTTTTAAGTTACAATTTTGATACCTTATTATAGTTTAAATGTTTTTAGTCCCTTACATAATTGTTTTTATAGTTTTTATTTCTATTAATATTACTTTTTATTTAAACGTTATAAACTTTTACGGTATATATTGTAGTATTATATAATAAAATTAATCCATTCAAGATACACTTTCAAATATTTATTTTTGTCTGTCTCCTCCATACATAATTGTTTGGATTGAAATCTTATTTTATACTTTTACGTTCCATTTTACAGATAACTAATTTGCAATGTGAACCAGAAAAGTATACAAATAAAGTTACGATCTAAACACGCTTGAATGTTTAAACTATGTTGAAAGTTGTCTCAAAATTTCTCCCACGAAATTGTCGCACTGTGTTTTCAACATACCGAATTTCCGCTGCATCGCGCGGATGGTCCAAACCCTAGTTGTTTGTGTAAACCATGTTTTTTTATGTTCATGAATTATCAACTCATGCACTGAACTTCTTCTCAATGGTGTATATAATGACATAAAATTTCTTGATGAAGAAAAATAACAAAACTAAAACTCATTTCACATAAATGAAAATCTTAAGTAGTGAATCATCTTCAAAACAAAGATCAACTAAAATTTCTTAATGGAATTCCAAATTATTGTGAGTTTAATTTTTGGCAAGCTACACGCATTGGGAATGTATTTTCAGATGTTGTGTCTTATCTAACAGGGTTGGCTAAAAAAACATCACATTTTACCATATAGACACCCTAATTAATTTTTAAAATATTTTTATTGGTTGAAATTGCATTGTTTTCCGAAAAAACTGATTATAAGTAGTTGATTATAGGTTGATTTTTTATAAAAGTAATAATAGGGTGTCTAAGGGGTGTCTTATTAGTAACACTCTATCTAACATAATAGGTTACTCTTGATTATTAATTATAGGAAACACAGGTCTTCAAACTTTATTTTTTAAAGTTTGTTCACTAAAATAATAATCAAGTAAAAAACAGTTAACAACCAGAAATGGAAGACCACATTAAAAAAGGACCGTTTTTCAATATTTATCATAAAATGACCATCAAATTTGCGAGAAATGTTCATTGGCCCGTGAAATTGTTAACGAAATCATAATTATATATATTTGCTAAAATAATAAATATTCGCAAAAATAAAGGGATTTCATGAAAGATAATGTCATTTTTGTAAAAGAAAATATCAAAAAGTCTTCCACAAGAACCAAACAAAGAAATCTCACACATTAACCGATTTTGTTTAACCTAATTTCGTTTACATTGGAAATAAATACTTACGCTAGCCGTTTTCACAATTTTTTTATTTTGCAAAAGTGACATGTCTCGTGAAAAGAAAATCAGAAAAAGTAAACTTTAGTAAAAAAAAGTTGTATTTTATGATTTTTTTATTAAATAAATGGTTATTTTGTGATAAATATAAAAGGTGTTCATTCCAATTTTTGGTCATTATGGTTAACTCCTATATATATATAATATATATATATATATATATATATATATATATATATATATATATATATATATATATATATATATATATATATATATAATATATATATATAAAATATTTTTCGAAAAAAATATCTAAATTCATATATTAACATTGTGAATGTGAAAAAATTTTTCGGATTTACCGTGTGAATCCGGATTCACATTGTGAATTTTCAAAGATTCACATTGTGAATTTGACGTAAAAAAAATCGAATTTGATATCATTGGAAAAAGGATAAAAAGTTATGAATTTCTATATTTTTAGTTTTTTTTTTTTTGATAAAAAATAAGTTCTAAAAGTTGAAAAAAAAGATTGGTTCCTTGGTTAATTATGGTTTTCTATTGAATCTCACCCTATATATATATATATATATATATATATATATATATATATATATATATATATATATACTCTAATAAATAAAGATTTTTTTGCCACATGTCACATTTTCATTCATTTTGCCATATGTAATTTTGTGGTAATTTTAAATTAATTTTTATTCCACATAATATTAAATATAATAAGAAATGTATATCAATTTCATTAATGAACTTTCATTCTAATTTCAAAATTACAAAGTTAAAGTTTTATTAATTTCTTTTATTTATTATCCAAATCGTTTCTTTAAATTTAAAAGAGAAAAAAAAAACACTTTAATTTTTATAATTCAATTTTTTTTTTCATTTTTCTTATAAATTCAAACTTTTAAAATGTTTAGAACTTTATATTTAATTTTTATTATAAATAAACTCATGTAATACATGGGTCTTACACCTAGTATATATATATATATATATATATATATATATATATATATATATATATATATAATACTCTTTACCTTTTGTTTTCATGTAGCCTCAGTTCATCATTTAATCACAAAGAAAGTAAAGAACCGATTGAAAAAGATGTTACGGTGAAATAATAGTTTTCCTTTGAAACATTACTATTTGAATCGATAACTAACTCTGCTATCTAATTTCCTCCATGCTATCTAATTTCCTTGCTATCTAATTTCCTCCAAACATTACTATTTGCACCTTAGAATCAAAGTCGGTTTTTGGTTCTTCACATGCTATCTAATTTCCTCCAAATTATCAGAAAACATATATTTCCATGTGGACAAAATGAGACACCAGTCCACCACATCTAATTAACTACAGTGTAACAAATAATGGCTTCCAACTAAGAGCAATTTGTGATTGTCATGATTCACGTTTTATAAGTCAACTGGTGTCATAATAATAAATAAGTGTAATAATAAAACACACCCAAATCCAATAATGAATTAAAAAAACCCTAAATGGGCCCGGTTCTAATTGCATGATCTAAATCAGCAATCAAATCATTGACATCTTCAATCCCGACAGATATCCGAATCAGATCTTCTGTTAAACCTCTCGCCTCACGAACTTCTGCTGGTATTGACGCATGCGACATGAAACATGGCATGCTAATCAACGATTTTACACTCCCTATCAAAATCAAAATTATATACTATAAAAAAAATCATAAAAAAAAAAAAAACAATTATCAAGAAGAGAAATAAATTATAATTATTACCAAAACTAACAGTTATCCCAAAGTACTTGGTAGTCTCCACTATATGCTTAGATAGTGCTAACGACCCTGTCAAAAAACTCAGAACAGATCCTGCCCCCTTTGCCTGCATAATCAAATCATCAAAATATAATGTATTTTGTTTTTTTGCCCAAAATAGCAACATACAAATATTTTGGGTAAAAAATGTAAATACCTGAGAGTAGTGTAATGAGTGTCCAGGATGACTTGGAAGACCAGCATAATTAACCTTCTTTACATGGGGATTAGAGGACAGAAATTCTGCTATCTTTTGTGCATTATCCTGATTAAAACCATTAAAGAAATGGGTTTTTTTTTTAAGTAATAAAACCCCCCCAAAAAATAAAAAAAAATGAAGATTTATGTACGAAAATGAAATAATACTTGTTGCTTCTCAATACGTAAAGCCATTGTCTTGATGCCACGTAAACAAATCCAACAATCAAAAGGTGCAAGTCCAGATCCCTCTGCATTTTGTAAAAAATACAATTCTTTTGCCAGCCTATTTCAAACACAAAGGATTTTATAGTAATTTTTAACTATAAATCTTTCATGCATTTTGTTATCGTAATTCATAAAGTTATCTTTATTCTTTCATTAAAAAAATGTACAAACCTTTCTCCTTTTACAGCAAGCACTCCAGCCATGACATCACTATGTCCAGCAATAAATTTTGTAGCCGAGTGCATCACAATATCTAAAAAACAACAAAACGATTAATCTTATAGATATAAAACATTAAAACTCACAAAAATTTATAAAAAATATATAAGATTTTAAGCACCTGCTCCGAGTTCCAAGGGTTGAGACAATACAGGAGACATGATGCTATTATCCACCAACACCAGAGCATCATTAGCATGAGCAATTTCCGCTATTTGCTGAAATGAAATGAAAGGTCATTATTACCCTTTATAAAATGATAATCAAAACATGAGGTGTATTATTTTAGTATTAATATATTATACTGTATTAAAACTTACACGGATATCAGAAATTTGTATTCGGGGATTGGTTGGACTTTCCAACCACACGAGCTTAGTTTTGGGGCCAATTGCAGCAGCAACCTCATCTAAGTTAGTTGTGTCCACTCGCCTTCATAATTTTATTTTATTTTAAAATGTCATAAATTTATGGCTATAAAGATTAATAAATTTGTTTTTTCAAAGATTATAAAATACTAACTTAACCGTGGTTCCTGTTCTTGGAACAACTTGTGAGAGTAATCTATCAGCACCACCATATATGTCTTCTCCAGCAACAATTTCTTCACCTATAAGAATAATGTTATGATTGGATTATTTATTATTTATAAAAAAAACGCAACAAATTTTGTTTGATTTTACCATTTTTTAGTAGATGAGTGACAGCAGCTAAAGCAGCCATTCCACTAGTAAAGCAAAATGCTCGATCTGCTTTATCAAGCTTTGCTAGGAGACTGAAAATAGAAAGGAGAATAATGTCAAAAATAAAGATGTGACAAAAAAAAACAATTTATTAATAAAAATGGGGGATTGAAGTCGAACCTTTCTAACATATCACGGGTAGGATTGCCACTTCTAGTGTAATCATAAGGGCCATTTTCAGTTGCAGAAGGCTGAAAAATCACAAAAATTAAACAACTTTCCAATTATAATCCCACAAATAAGTATAATCATAAAGATGCAAAACAGGGTCTTAAACTCTTAACACTTACTTGTTTGAAAGTAGCAGTTTGATATAGTGGTGTGCTCATTGCACCATAAGGATCGAATTTGTTTTCAAAATTCATCAATATGGTCGATACGCTAGGCTCTCTAATGTCGGTTTCCAACATTGAATCTGCCATTAAAACAACCACAATGATAAGAAATCTTTGAAATATACAGCTTGAAGAATTTTCCGACAGCTACCATCAAAGCATTCTGCAAGTCCTTCAACGACGGCCGATGCACTCACATCCATCCTGTCTTCCCTTGAGCAGCGCAACACCAATTTTTCACCAAGCGAATTCGAACAACGATTGCTTACAACACCAGATGTACACCCAAAACTAGCAACCCCCTAAAATGTCATACGAAAAGCTTAAATTCGAAACATGTAAATCTCAAACTAAACCAAAACCCTCTAATTCATCTAGGTATTCGGCTGATTTCATCAGAATTCACCAATTAAACTGTAGTTTTTTTTTTCTTTATGTGTTGATGTCAAAAATGACTGCAATCGCATTTCGTGACCAAATTCATTTGGGTATGGATTCAAATTAGTAAATTACAAGACCCCACTGCTGAAATGTCCTCTTGGTTAATTTTCATTTTCGTTCTATCAAAAAACCTAGTTAAGGGTAACAGAACTTTGAAGAAATACAAGCATAGACAAACTTACACGGTGATTGATAAGTTCAGATGGTGGAGCTGTGAATAGCGGCGAGGATCTGAGAGAAGAAGAAGCAGAAGGAGCAGCCATTGTTGTATTTGGATTGTTGTGGGTCCACGACTCTTGAGCCGGCGAATGTATTTAGACACAGCAGCCGTGTGAAGTGTGTACAGTATACATGCAACATTTAAGAAAACGGGTTGATCCGGAAAAATATCTGTTTGTGTAAAATAATAATTTTTAAATTAATATTTCAATCAAATCGAAATTACTTTCTAGGGTAAATGACTTTAGGACCCTTATGCTTTTTTGTGATTTTTAAAAAAATTATTTGGTGAATATAAATATGTCGAGTAAAATAGAATAATATAATTATAATATTAACAAATATTTAAATTGAATGTATTTTAATTTAATTATCATCGTACATTGGATGAGATGACAAACGGACAACAAGTTGCGCCGCTAAGTCTTTTTGTATGGTAAAACTAATTCTTTTAAAGACTATATTCATAGATCTATGGGATGTAACATTGTTATGATTGATACGTTGTACTCTATTAAGAAGTTTTACCGCATCCGGCGCGAGGAAACCAAACGTATCAAATGCAAATGGTATGAACACATGTTGATTTTTCATGCACGATTTCTCATGTTTGATGATTTTGCCTGTAAAAATAACTATTTTATTTTTTTAACTTTGAAATAATTTTACATTTAAGTTGTTGTAAATATTGTAATAATTTTAAATATGTGACAAGATAAATATCACATCATTATAGTATCCTAATGAAGCATTAGACTTAGACTGCACATGAATAAAAATAAATTTAGTTTTGGATTTATTGTTATTTCCAACTATTATGATGGTTAATCGATTTACAAAAACATAGTTTAGAATGGTATCATCTCAGTGGTTAATTAATTAAAACCTATTTGTTTGGACAATAATGCATTATTATAAAATTATAGTTTTTTTGTCATTTTTTCAAATTATTATAAAAATATAGTTTTTTTTTTGTCATTTTTTCTTAATATAGAAGTTTAATTTAGGGTTTACTTCACCATTAGGTTAATAACTTGAATATTTTTTCAAATATCAACTAATTTTGACCATTTTTTTAGCTCTCCATCATTAATATTTTTCCAAATATCAACTATTGAATTACATATGAATTATAGTTTTGACCTAAGTGAATAAAATCGTGTACAACTTTATATCAAATCATTTTAAAAACAACTTCTTTGGTCACTTTCAATTTTTGATCGTGATGGTTTTTACAAATATCATTTATTGTTTTGTGGTAACACAATCTTTAATTTCACACATATTTATTTTAAATTATTTTTCGATTTAGTTTTATTTTTTAACTGCTATTATTGTTAATTAATTAAAAAATATAATATTTTTTATTATTTAAAAATAATTTTTAGATATTTATTTAGCTTGTTTGACTACTCAATTGCCTTAAATGGCATTAATAATCTTATGTACAATTTTTAATTTCATAGTATTTTTAGCTATTAATATATTAAATTTCTTTAAAATTTTAAAATTGTCAAATCTTTAAATGGCCTAGTTACTGAACGTTATTGTGTTGATGTGCTATTGTAAGGTAGTTTTGTGGGAGAGAAACCAATTCATATATTTATTTTTCATTTTTTTCATTAAAAAGTTGCACATGTTTAAGAAATTAGTTTTTTTCAAGAATTTACACGCATTTAAAGACGTGACTTTTACATGGAGGATATCAAGAAAATGAGTTAGATGATGCATACTTATGCATGACTTTCAATATCTGTAAGTTTTTTTATATTTGTAATTTATAATAAAAGTTTAAATCTATACATATGGTTAACGAGCAACATGATTTTATAGTTTAAAATTTTCCCTTACATTAAAGGGAATGATTCTTACACAATAATTTTTCTCTATATACAACAAATTATGTTTTATAAAATTGTATACTTTAATGTATGAAAAAAAGTTGTTGTGTATATAAGTTGGTCCATTGATCCATGTTTCAATTTGTTTATGGTTTTGTTGTTTAATTTAAAAGATAAAAATCCAACATTTTTATATAGACAAAGAAAAAGTATGCTGATTTTCATTTCAATTCCTATTGTGAGTTAAAAAACACATATTAATATTTAATCACTATATTAGATGTTTTAGTTTGAGTAAATTACACGAATAGTCCCTATGGTTTAGGGTAATTTGTGCGTTTGGTTCCTAACTTATTTTTTTAACTCGGAAGGTCCCTACAGTTTGTTTTTTTTACGCGCTTGATCCCTATCTTACCTAAAAATACTATATTGCCCTTGATTTTTTGATTTATTAAAATAACCACACCCTAAATCTCACCCTCTCACCTTACCTTACCTACCCCACTATTTTTTTTCTATTCAAATAATAATTTTTTTAGATAAGATAGGGACTAAATGTGTAACAAAAACAAACATTAGGGACCTTCCGAGTTAAAAAAATAAGTTAGGGACCAAGTGCGCAAATTACCCCAAACCATAGGGACCATTCGTGTAATTTACTCTTTTAGTTTGTTAGGAACAACACCGACATGCTAAGCGACTTTGTTTTTTTATGTCTAATCTATATTATCTAGGAAATTTGATTGGTCCTTTGATAATGACTTACCTAAAATCACAATATGAGTTTTGAGTGAACAACGATTCATTTTTCTTTTGTAGTTAATATTGTCCATTCAAATAGGGGCGGAGCCAGGATTTGAGAATAAGGGGTTGATAGTCCCGCGTTGTAATTTTAACATATTAAAATATAATGTTATACCCAAATGATATAGAGTTTAAAATTTTAAAAGAAAAAAATCGTCGGTGGTAGATGCTACATCAATCTCTATAAGAAATCAATATTAAAAACTTTTCAAAAGACCATAAGCATTTATTCTTATTCATCTATTAACATCAATTTTAAAAAGTTTTCGATTATAAACATTAACTAATATTGACTGATTAACTTTTTTTATTGATTAAAGAATTAAAATCGTGTAAATATAACAATGTAGCCGGAAACAATTTTTAATTGAAAATAAACATCGTTAAAATGAATAAAAATAGCTACGGACTTTATCTTGGTGACTCATCAGTTAACGAAGGTTATTTACGAACAAATGTGGGTATAATAATTGATACCAAAAAATTGACATAAATGAGGGTATTAAGTTGATTAAACTAAAAAATAGGGGGTGGAGGCAAAAAAAAATAAGGGAATGAGCGGCGTACTTTAAGTCAAATCATGGCTCAATTTTTGGTGTCGATTCTTATACCCCTTGTTTTCCATACAATAATTGTATTTCTTAAAATATATGGAAGGGGCTCAACATTATAATATAAACGATTTGGGCTAAAAATTACTTATGGATTGAAGGTTTAAAAGAGGTTGAGGGAGGCAGAGCATCCAACAGCCCCTTGTTGGCTCCGTCATTGCATTCAAAGAAATGTATGAAGATAATAGTACATAACTCAAGATAAAAATGTTTGTGTTGCAAATGCTAATAAGTTATGTTATATAGATTTTCATGAGCTAGTACACAAAAGGTTTCAAGTTTCATCATAAGTGAAAAGTCTTTTAATTGTAGTAATTAACATTAAAATTTTTAATAAATTAAATATCATAAGTGAATGAACTTTTTGAGCTGTATTACTTAAATGATAAATTAAAGTTTGAGTGCTTAATAATTATAAGTTATAAGTAAAAAAAACTTTTGAATGATTGTGATTAATTGGTTGAAAGGTGAAAGTTTGTGGATGTTTCAAATGAATATGGTGCAAGAATATAGTCTATCTTGAAGCATATTCATTTTGATAGCCTTTATTATATGACTAGGTGAATCCTCACGTTTTGCGCATGAATATATTTATATAGATAACTAATAACAAATATATTTCGTTAAAAATATTTAAGTCAATGTCATTAACTATGAAATAAATACTTTCAGATAGTATTGTAAAAATAATTTTTATTCTTAAATCATATTACTTTAATTCATATAAGATAAAATAGGTTAAACAGTTATATATATATAAAATAAAATAAAAGAATGATATTTGTCATAATAAATTAAATATCTTAATAATTTGTTAAAAGTGTTTAAGTCGTTATTAATCATGAAATAAGAATTGTCATTTAGTCTTGTAAAAACTGATTATTATTCTTAAACCGTATTACTTGAATTCTATAAAATAACGTATGTTTAAAATTTATATAAATAAAATAAACTATGCATGATATTTGTGGCAATTATGTTATTATCTTAATAAGTAAAAAACCATTAGTAAAAGTCATTTAGTTAAAACCTATTGAATTATCCAATATTCATAAATTATACTATATTAATTTGAGTATTTACTAATCATAAGATATAAGTTAAACAACAATATTATTTTATGAGAAATTAAATATCATCCTAGTATCTTCCTACCCATTTGAAATGATGACAAATATTTTAAAATATTATTTATTTGATCAAAATATGACATTTGTCACTATTTCAAATGGGTAGAAAGATAAGTAGAAATAAAAAAAGGTAGGAGAATATTTAATTTCTCTTATTTTATTCATTTTGTAAAGTTTTTCACATAATGTTGAACACTTTCATATAAATAAAACATATCAATATAATATTTGCAATCTAAAATATAAATATGAAATTAAGTAACAATTGAGTGGAAGTCTCATAACTTACAAAAAAGTAATGCATGCTTAACCTAATGGTGTTCATGTCACTCAATAATAGTGTGAATAGTTCATACATATAAATGTTCAAAGTTTGTTAGATCCAAGAAAACTCTCAAAATGTTGACGGGCTTCGCATTTTTCTTGCCTTAGCTTTTTGCTTTATACGTTTCTACAAATGAAAAAAAAAATTAGCCTAACACTCATCAAGCTCAATACATTAAATTCAACTATTTTATAAGGAAAAAAGATAACAAACAACATTTTGAAAATATGTCATCATGTTACATCTCCATTACAATTCATATATTCTAAAAGAATCGGGAAAGTGGAAAATACACAAAAATAAACATCATAATTATGTCAATAAAGTAATAATAATACCAATACAATTGTAGAGAACTTAAAAATAATTCTATGAGTCTCACATGCATCTTGACATCATATTCATTCATATTATTTATATACCTTCAATCTTTTTCTTTGAAGCCTTTAATCTACCACCCAACCATCCATAATTCTCAAAACTCTACCATCATAATCTACTAATATGATCTATATCTCTCTCAATATTAATTAATTGGTGTCATTAGTACGATTAACTATCATAAGTTAGAAAACTCTTGAGTAATTGTCATTAATTAAGTAAAAATGAAAAGTTGTGTAGATTTCAAGTAAAAATGAAAAGTTGTGTAGATTTCAAATGAATATGGTACAAGGATATGACCTATCTTGAAGTACATTGATTTGAATGGACTCTTTTATAAGATCCATAATTCTCAAAACTCAACCAACATAATCTACAAATCACCTATATATATATATATATATATATATATATATATATATATATATATATATATATTCTAGCATAGATAATCTAAGTAGGTTGTAAAACATTCAGTCCTATTATATCAATGATATTGCTAGATAATCTAAGTAGGTTGTAAAACATAGTCCTATTATATCAATGATATTTAACAATTGTCCTGGACTTTTGTTGATTGTTATTACAAAAAACATGTGGTAAAGTTAGTTAATTCATGTAGGGTTTAAATGGTCATTTTGATTCACTTGATGATATTATGATTCAAGTAACAATGATTTTATTCTCATTATGTGTTGTGGACATCGTGTGTGCTTCTATTGGCCATTTTCTAAGAATAATCATGCGCAATTTTATTTAGGTTTTGTATTACCATAATTGATGCACCTATTTTAACTTGAGTATGTAATTAGGAACACCTTTGAAATGTAATGAGTTTAAGAATTCAGTAGTGTACACCATACCATCTTCATTTGCACCATTTTGATATCTACAAATGTTATTTGAACTTAGATGCTTTATCGAGCCCATGGTATATGATTCATGATTATGTCATTAAACTCATGTACAACGTCATTGTTTGGAGTAAATATTTTTTCCATTTTAAGTAATAAGGGTATCGGTGCATGTTTTCTAGGTCTAAATGCACAATGTCTTAAGTATCTGGAAACTTTAACTAAGTCATTTGCATTGTTGTAAAATGATGATCCATCACCAATTTCTATATTCATCAAATTTCAACATCACATGCAAGTTAACTTTGTGAAATTGGAATGCAATTGCATATTAGTCTTCAAATAGAAAACATTAGCATATCCCCATAGTTACAAAGAGTTTAATGCAACTCAAGTACTTCAAAGCAAAAGTGATTAGTTGTAGGTGTTTTGTCACGTATGATAAAGATTTTATGCAAAGCACTTCAAATGGGTGTGTTACATGCTTTATGTCGCATGTTGAATCAATGTCTATATTTAAAGATATACAGGAACACCGGCTGGTAGTTGAATTAATGTTGTATATGATTATATCAACTTGTTACAAAAATAAAAAATAAAAATAAATACTTTATTTTTTAGGCTATTGAAATTGATATTTTCAATATTATATAGTATAAGTTATTTTAACACGATAATACCCTTTTAAATAACAGTTAGGGCTGTAAAAACAAACTGAACATTCGGCGGGAACATTCGTTTATGTTTCTTTAGCATGTTCACGCACATAAACGAATGAACATGAACAATGTATATTTCTAAAAAAACAAACATGAACAAGAAAACTTGTTCGTTTATTTGTTCGTGTTTGTTCATTTGTTCGGCTAACTTAAACGAACGAACATAAACAAGTTTTTGTTCGTGTTCGTTTGGTTTATTTACATCCCTACAAGCAGTGATGTTATATAAAATGTGGATTTTTATTTGATTTAAAAAAAAACATATGTTAGTAATTTGTTGTTACAAATAAATAATCAAAAGTACTAAGTAATTGCAAAATATTTATATTAATTTTTGGAAAATAACTAGTATTTACTTTCAACTTATTTGTTATATATGTTTTCAATATCAATGTTTAAAAATCGGTTTTTTAGTTAAATCGATTTGATGACCGGTTCACGGTTCAACCTTCATTGTTCTTCGGATTATGTACACTCTGGATAACCTGATCGATCAAGATATTCAATTTTCTTTGGAAATTGATTGTTTTTTTTAAATGTCTAAGTAAAATCGAACTATCCAAGTCCAATAAACCAGTTTTTACTGTTTCTATCATACCGATTCAACCCAGTTTTGATGAAAACTTTTTGGTTCGATCTAGTCTAGAATTTGACATAACCTTTTGCCATCTTTACGTGTAGATTTTAACTTTCGCTTTATGGTCTCCTAATCTCCTCATTCGCACATATTCAACTTTATTATAATAAATTGACATATTTTCCATAAAGATCTTATATATGTATAACTTCAATGTGGATGCTATTTCAAAAATTTTACTTTTATTTATTTAATTGTATATATTTTTTATTTCTTCTTATCAGAGGTCTTTTACGGAAACAGTCTCTCAACCCTACCTTGAGGGCTACCAACCATTTTACATCCCTGTTACCTCATTTGTATGGGACCAGGTAATCTTGTTTTATTTTTGCAAGAAATTGTTTTAGAATAAAAAAACATTATCAATATTGTTAAAATGATGGTGTTACTATTTCCTAGGGTTTACCTCAGATAAATATGAATTAGATGTATATATTATGGTCGGATGTTCCACAAAGCGATTATAATGTTCCCAACAACAAAGTATGTTGACATAAAACACCCAATACATACATTACAAGAAACACAACCAAATCCAATGCAATAGGAGGCTGAGAAAGCCTCATTCATCAACTAACTACCTGCAATGCAATAAACAAGTCAAATAATGAGGGGTATGTTGGTAATTTAAAAAAAGACATCTGAAATAGTTGGTTGCCATAGCCCATAAGTAACAGAAGGAATGCAGTGGTCACCTTCTTCTGGACCTTGTAACTCTCACACTCACACTAGGGACATGAGAATCAGCCACCTTCTTCTCAGATACACCGCCGTTGCTTTTCTTGCCTCTAGTCTTTGCTGTTCCTGTGCCATGAATACATTCATTGTAATTATATTTTATTTCATAACAAAAAAAAAATCATTAAATTTCACATTATTACCTTTTGGAATAACTTGTGGTGATTGGACCTCATCATCCAATGATGACTCCGACTGGATCACTTGACTAGAAGCATCATGTGAAGTTTCTTCAAACTCCACACTTTTTGGAGCTGGACCATGTTCCTCTTTATTAACACATCTTTCATTTTCATTTTCATTCTCATTCTCATTCCCATTCTCATCCATTGGAGGATCCATGACCTCACCATCTGTTTTGTTACCATTTTAACAATAACAGATCAGATAATCATACAAAACTTTTATCTATAATCAATCTCAAAATTTAATCATACAAACAAACCTTCATCAGCTTCAGACTTCTCTTTTTCATTTTCATTTTCCTTTTCCTTTTCGAGATTCGTATCAACAATGATGTTTTTGATGGCATCAGCTTTCTGTTGATGAGCAGCTGCATTTCTTGCTGTGATTTCTTGCTCCTTCTTATCCTCATGAAACTTGCTGATTTTCCCCTCAAATTCCTCAATGCATGACTTGAGTTCTTGTTTGGCAAATTTCTTTCCCTATAAAATAATAAAATATAGATCTTGTTTAGAAGAAAGTCTTTGAACATATAAATAGTGGAGTTGGAAGTAAGTAGAAAGTACCTTATTTATGATGGTTCTAAAATGGTCCATCACGGTTTCATTGGATAGAACATGCTCATAAACTTTGAATAAATCTATCAGTTTCTTGATGCCCTTGTCAGTAAATGATAGCTGTGCAAGACAGTATGATATGTTTTCCCATTGCTTAGCATCTGCAATTAAAAAAAAAAAACAAATTAGATTAAATCACAAAAGAAAATGCTTATTATAATTTATAAACACGATTGTTGAAAGATTTTACCTGTCACACCACTAAATCTATGGCATAGCTTTTCAACAAGAGCTTCCATTTGCTTGTCCTGAAAATTTACAAAAAGTCAAACGTTGACTTTATTATATAACTCATCACTTCCATAAAAAGCAATCTGCTTCTTTACCTTCTTGATTGACCCAATCAAAAACTGCATGATGTTGAAGAATGATTCTCTTTTCAAGTCCTGGTTTGATAACTTTCCGAGGATATCCGGTAATAAATTATATATCGGATTATTCCCTGAAAAAAATAAAAAGAGTAATTAATAATGCCACTTCAAAAATGCAACTATTCATAAGGGTTAAGATTTACCTTTCTTTGAGAGCTCATTAAAGAAAAGCTTTGCAAGATTAGAAATCCTTTCATTTTCATCTTCTAATCGCATTGCCATCTCATTTATATGGCCTTTAACCTAACAAATAAAAACAACCATATTCAAAATACTAACAAATTTTAAAAATTGTTGTAATGAGTTAGGTAATTAGAAAGATCTAGAACCTTCATCATGTCATTGAGAATGAGATGAGAGAGAACTAAAACAGCATTTGTCCTGACAGAAACTGAAGGATCATGAAGCCTGGAGTACATGTTTTCAGTCCATGGTTCTAGAAGATTTGGAAACCGAACTGCCAGGTCACCAAGAGAAATTGTACAGTTGGAGCGAACAGTTTCTGATGGAGCATTCTCAACCACAGTGAATAGAAGCTGGAGATTTGCCTCACTGGCAAGTAGATCACATTTTTATATTTTTTTAGAAAATTTAAAAAAAAAAAAAAAAAAAAAAAAGACAGAATATGAACTATGAAGAGGGTAAAAAGAAAGAGGTCCTACCAAAAGTTGGCGTCTATAATCATCAATCTGCTTAAGGCAAGCATCCCGGATGCCTGCAATTCAGGATACTAAGGTACAAAATGTAAACCATGTTAGCAGCTATATAAAATAAAACTTATAAACCAAATGAAAATAGCAAATATTCAGATAAAGAATAATTAATCACCTTCTGCAACAAACCAAAGTTTCTACAAAGTTTTGACAAAAACGGTGCACAGTGTCCAATCAAGTTCTTTTCGTTAGAAGCACCATAAACAATTTCCTTTTCTGCCCTTTCAGAAAGTATGTCAAGCAAAGCATCCTCAGAAGCAGCAACACCTAATTCAGCATTTATACCATCCTCCTATAAAAACAAAAATAAAATTGTAAAAGAATAGAAAGAAAGAAACAAAGTATCTAAAAAGACAAGGTTTCACCTCTTGTTCAGGTTTGTCGACATGTTGACCTTCTGCCATCAATTTATCTTTCTTTGCTTTCTCCTTTTGAATCTTTCTAACACAAGACTCAATATAAACCAATTGGTTCATGGCAACATGGCTTGTAACATACAGAAACCTGCTTAGTTTTGAAGCTTGAACTGAAGTAAGGGCATCCGTGTCATTTTGCAACTCATCAACTCCAACAACAGAATGATAAGATTTTAACACCAAATCAGCTGCTAGGGTTTCTGGGGAAGGATGGATAGCATATATTGTACTGATTGCTCTATCTGCAGCAGCATACCAAATGTGTTCTGGAAGCCAAGATCCAGTAACTAAACTATCCAAAACACCAAACACCCTGCTTCCATGATTAGTCAACAGATTTTTTTGGTCATCAAGGGTCAACCTTTGAAGTGCAATACAAGCTGTTCTTGCAAGCAAAGGTTCTACCTTTGCCCACCTACCAAAACCAATATCTATAATGTCTTGTAGATGAGAACTTAGAACTTCAGGTGATGATTTTGCAGCCATACATAACACAGATAGGGCCCCACGGCTGCGTTCTGCACTTGTTCCACTGACATTGAAACAGAAGTAATCCCACAATGCTGCCACCTGTCACCATACAACAACTTTGTCTTATGGGTTATAACTTTATATACAAGATTGGTGATTTTAAGAGTTAAGACCATACCATGCTAGCAGAGATGTCCCCTTTAGAGACCAATGCACCAACAATGAACTCCAATGCTGCAAGATCTCCAACATTTGAATCAATGGCAAGTGTTATAAGATTTTTAGCAGTTTCAGTTGGGTTCTTTGTTATGTAGATTGTAATAAACGCATTCTCAACAGCTTCATAAATTGATTTGTCTTGGGAAAATACCTTCACACATGAAAACCAAAATGAGAAGAAAAATACCTAAAAAGGAAAGGCTCAAAAGCATTAATGCTTACCAGTGGCAACATCTTTCTAAGACAAGCTTCTGACTCATCAATCTGGAACTGTTTACACCTCATAAGCAATAAGATTGTGTTTTCAACATCAGATGCTGATGAAGAAGCCATTAACTGAACAAGAATCGGCATAGTGGCAGATATACATTTGGAAAATCTCAAGCCTGCTTCAAGTGATGCAATCAAAGTCCTGGTTTGCTCCAAATTCCCAACATCTGGTACTGAACTATCCATTTGAGTACTTTGCTCTTCCTCTTGAACCATACAGCTGTCAGTCAAACTATCCTGCTTCTTGATTTTATCATTGTCATCAACTATTTCACCATCATCACTTCCAGAATCACTATTCAATGGGACTCCATCCAAAACACTTTCTGATGACACGTTTGGTTCTAATTCATTCAACTTCTTCCTGTACTGCTTTAATGTTGCTTCAAATGAAGCTACACGAAGTTGTGGCCCAAAAGGGTTATGTTGCAGCATCATAATGAGTAAATTCAGTGCAGATTTTCTAACGATGGCACTCTTATCCTCTAACCTCCCAGCAGCTACTACAGCAACTTCATTCCATAAACCAATAGATACAGAATGTTCTTCACATAATTCAACCCAAACCTGTAGTACTTTACTTCTAGTATAAGCTGAAACATCCCTAGCACGTTCTAGAAGGATTTCCAACATTGCTTGTTTGGTTCGAAGGCGAATAGACTTTGAACTAACTTCACCTTCAATATCATTAAAAGCTTTAGCCACCAGCTTTCCCATTACTGCAACAAGAGCATTCCTAATCTTGTATGACTCTCCACCAAAATGAGGAACCAATAAACCAATGTTGGTTGAGATTAACTTTGGGATACGATCAGCAAGCTCTACAAGAAATCGCCCAATATTTTCAGCTCCAACGGTGTCTTTCACATAATCTTTTGGGTTAGTTCTTCCTATTTCTCTAATGAGAGAGATTGACAGGCTTCCATCAGAGTACTTTTTCTCTGCCCAAGCAACAGCATCAGCTAAATGTAGAACAACAAAGTCATGTTTATGAAGGATGTGTAGGATTGAAGCACAAGATTGTGCCAAATAGTGGTATTTGGTTGCACAAGTTCCAATCATGCGACATAAAGCTTCCTTTGCATCAGAATCTTTCAACAGTGTAGCGTTCTCAAACATAGAAAGTGCATTTCTACAACCACAGAAATCAGGCATATGTAATTGGAATAATCTTTTAATTTATAAAATAGATGGATATATTCAAGCTAATTAGATAGCTGGCATACCTCACAACAAAAGATAAATAATTTTCATCTGGGTCTGAAGAGCCAAAGAGTGATGAGAGGTTGATCTCCAGGGAATTTGCAATCAAACTTAGTATACGTCCCCTTTGGGCCTCCCAATTCCAAGAGCTAGAAAGATGTTTCTTTCTGTTACTTGGCAGCACCTAAAATAAAAGGATGTTAATCCTCTTAACGCAACATAAATCTCAGCTTCTTGATGAAAAAGCAAACACAAATCTAAGCGTCTAAAGACAATGGACACTACTAAACCTAACGTGAACCGAATGACATTTTTACTGTATACAAGTACATGTTGATCTTTTTCGGAAAAAGGAAGTACATGTTGATCCTAACGTTAGGAAATAATAAGCACCGATAACACAATCAGCTATAAGTAAAAGATAGAGATAGAAGTACTTTGGTAGTGTTGCTGGAAGCACTGTTTGATTCCTGGGCTAGGACAACATGGATAAGAAAGAATGTATAAATCTTGAAGGCATTCCGATGAGAATTAACTCGATCGAGTACTCTACCACCATCATCAGAATCGCGCCCCTCGCTAGTCGGTGATGCTGGAACCCTAAAAAGAGAATCGATGTTCGGAAGCAAAACACTGAAGTTTGACCGGAGACTCTCGACTATATTCAACTTACAACCAGGAGTTAGGTCACCAAAACACTTAACCAATGAGTAAATCCGGTCGAATAATTCTTGTTCTTCAACACAAAACAGCTCTTTGTCGGACAAATCAAACGACACGCCTGCAATTCAAATTTTTGGGGGCATTCAATTCAAGTTCATTAAAATAGAATGAAATAGTTCAAGTAAAGCAGGTAAACGAAGATGGTACCTTTGACGAATTCTTCCAGATCTGAAGGTCGGAGAGATGAAATGGAGGTGGGGTTTTGGACGGATAGATGACCGGCGTCGTCTCCGGAGTCTTCTTCAAGGGCGATTAGGTTTTGGGGAAACACGAACGGAGGAGACATGAGGGAATCTAGTGAAGAGAGAAATAAGATATTTCTGTGTGCTGTATTTGAAAGGGGGAGATTTTGAAACGCTTGCAGGAGCGGGAAATGAAATAATGTAAGAGGAAGAAGAAGAAGAGAAAGGTGGAGTTGCTTAAAGCAAAACCTTTTAAATTAGACAAAACTTCATAAATGCTACATACGGTTTTCCAAAATCTGAATTTCAGTCCTTTTAACTTTTTTTTTTTTTTATCTTCAAAAAGGGTCTAACCTTTTACATTTTTTTTTTTTTTTGGCTTACTAACTCACTCTATACTTTTGGCGGTCTTTTAATTGGAAAATTAAGAGACAAACTCTTAAGTTTTCAGATATAGACTAGACTGTTTGATTGCATATGATTTTATGCCTCTTAAACTTTCAAATCTAAAGGCATGTCTGAAAGAATAAAAATAAAAAACGTTTGTTCCCTTTTTGCCAAAATACTTTATCTCCTTCCCTCTGCTCTTTCTTCTTCATAAAGGTCGCTTCCCACTGAAATTCTGATTGCAACCCTCCACCATCCCCTCCAGACACTGCATCTGCCAGAGACACCGTCTCTGACATCGTCGCCGGCAGCAAAGCCCTCCGGCTCCCTCATCGACGCCAGTTCTCTTCCACCCCTGTCTCCTTCGCCTTAACCTGATTTGCCTATGCCGCCTTCGCCTCCGGTATCTTCTGCAGGTAACATTTTCTTTTTCTCTTGTTATGTAATTCGAGTTTAATGCTTGAAAATCAAGTATGTTTCCCCTGTAATTCGAGTATCAGATAATCGTTCCTTTTTTTTTAAATCAGAGTTGTTTTTGTTTTTTTTCTAAAATCAATGCATCTTTTGAAGATGTATTTATGTCGTTCCACCAAACTAGAACCTTACTTTGAGGTTAGTTTTGGTTCAGTTTTGATTTATGATAATGTGTTCATTTCTAAAATATATGGGTTGATTTCTAATTTTGTGTTTATTTGGTGAAATATATTGTTGAGAATGTGTTACTAGTTGCTGATTTGTTCTTTTTTATTGAAAATGTGTTCCTAATTACTAATAGGGATGAGCATAACCGGGTACCCACCTATTTTAGCCGGAACCGGAACCGCTCCCGGAACCGGAACGTTATGTAAATTAACCTATACAAACAATATAAGTACAAGATATAAAACCAAAACATTTACAAAAATATGATCTTTTAAATAACAAGCTATTAAAAACATTTCCCACTTTTAAATAACACAATAGCAACAAGTTATTAAAAACATTTCCCACTTTTAAATAACACAATAGCAAGAGCCAACAACAAACTACAAACTATAAAATAACAACAGGAGACTAAAATTGTAATTCATAAAAGCAAAAACATCAACAATACAAACAGGCAAAAGTAACAACAAAAACAGCAAAAGTAACAAACTACAAACATTGTCTTTTCCTGGTTCTTCAACTTTAACATCAACTTCAACAACCTACAAAAGAAACATGTATCATATAATATCATATATGTAAACAATGTAATTTGTTATACTAGATAAAAAAGTTTGATTCGTCATCTATTTTGTATGCTTCTCCAGGCTTAAAATCAACTGTCATATCCATTCTAGCAACAAAAAAATGTTGGTGAACTGGTGCATATAGTCCTGGTGCAATTGTAGTGCCATATTTTCTAACTTCTCCTCGCTGTAATGCTCCTAAGCTCAAAATTCCAGTAAGTTTAACTTCAGCTTCAATCTTTCCATCCTGCAAAAACAAAAAAAACAATCAGTGGTATTGTTAAAAGTTTGACCATAAAGATATAGATAACTGTTAGGAAAAATGCCAATGGGTTACTTAAGTTAATTGAATATAAAGCAACCTAATGCGTACTCGGATAAAGAAGAGAAGGGTGTGTTAGTATGTAATATGTATGCATTTTCACTAAATGAAAGTACAATGTTTTATCTTGAACAGGTGGTGTCTATTAGCAGAGAAGATTTCATACCCACAAGATTAGGTGTCACCCCCCCAAACCAAGGATGGCGGAAACGTCCGGGGGTGGAGGACTTCATGTATAGTATCATAACCACAACGGCAATAGTAATCCAAGCAAACACAACCAACATATATATAATTGAAAGAGTTACATCATTGTATGAATTACATGTTTCCAAATCAATTACAATATGTTGACAAAATATGAAATGTTTGACGCCTTAACGTCCCATCCTCAAAATGCACTTGGTTGTCTGTTTAGTGATTTCCTGATAATACAAGTTGTTTGAAAAAGTGTCAACACAAAGGTTGGTGAGTTCATAAGCTTTTGTTTTGTATTGATAAAAGCCTCTCTCTTGTAAATGTAATGTTTGTTCCAGAAAAATCCGATATTTTCCTTAAAATGTGTAATGTAGTCTTATATCCAAAGACCGAAATGTATAAGTAACCTTTCTTACTTATAGAGAATAATGTAAGTTTAAATCGACATAAACGCATTTGATTTCAATGAAATTCTCGTAAATTCCTATGTTTGTTAATATTTTCTGTGAGTTATTATAACCATACTATGACCTAGTTGGCCTGAAACGACGTTCTTCAGGCGTCGGAAATGTTATGACATTTGTCACCCCATACCTGCCGGTCTAACTGTTGCATGCAGTTAAGGTGTGGGTTTGTCAGACCCAATATAGATCTATACACAACTATCACGCTCTCCCTCCAGGAGACTCTGGTTACAATACATGACTTATTTGTAAAGTGAAGCGAATGTCTCACAAAGTCATTAACGGAATACGTGTGGTGTAATGAAAATCCCCTTTGTATAAATGTACCCTTTTGAAATGTATGTATTATGTAATGTATCATAAACTATACCTATTATAGTTTATCAAAACAAGGATAGTAGTAGTAATGTATGTAAACTATACTCAATATAGTTTATCCAATGTTTGTATGTAATGGATGTACTTTGATTATAACAATTTGTTATTTCTATGCTTTATCTAGCAAAATCCATTTGTTAACTGATGTATGTCTATATACTAAGACAAAAATGTCATATATTGCACTAACATATAATCACATAAAGATATACACCTTGCTCAACATGTTACAATGTGAAATGAAATTGATAGCATTTTTCTGTTGATAACATTTTGTGTCACTGTTCTTAGAAAATATGTAGAAAAATCATCAAAGGTCCAAATCAGAATACGTAAATTCTTAGAGTTTGGAAAATGAGTCTAGTTTCTCCATAATTTTTCTCATGATTTTTAGTGACCTCTAACTTGTGTGAACAGGTCCATAATCACAGACTGGTCCGGATTGATGTTTGAAATGATAGGCAGTTTTGTAAAAATCACCATAAATTGTAGAAAAACCGTATGGAGATGTTCAAGTATCCATTTTAAAGCTAAGGACTTGAACTACTTGCACCTTGTACAGTTTTGAAAACTAAAATGTTTAGGTTGTCCAAAACAGTCCGTGATTGATGTCCAACTTTTCTGATGAAAGCTGTTGGAAATGTTTAGTTGTGTTCTTGATGATTTAACTTGTATTCCCCCCCCTTAAAACTTAAGAAAACATGAAAATGTAGGGGTATGAACTCACCTTAAATGGTTTCAGTGGATGAGTGTTGGAGATGAGAAGTGTTCAACTCAAGAACACTTGAAGATGCCTAGAAGATTTTTGAGAATCTAACACCAAAGTGATGAAATTTGTGTAAGCAGTCTATGATTGGAGTAGAATGAAGTGTAATTACCACAAGGAGGATGAATTATACTTACCAAGAGGGTAAGAGAGCTTGATGATCAGCCTTGGAATCCCGAAATTGAGGAAGAAAGTTTGAGAGAAAAGTTGAGTTTGATCTTTGGTGAAATGAGAGCAAGTGAGTGAGAATGAGGAGAGAGGATGAGTTGTTCCAGCTCTTAGGACGTGGGAGAGGCTGAAAATTGAGTGGGAAGGTACAAGGAAGTGACAAGGTATGGTGGGGAGGTGTGTGGGTTAGTCATGGAGTGGGTGTGGTGGTTGCTTGTGTCATAAATCAAAGATAAGTCAACACTCCACCTTAATTACTCCAACCACTAAATCTTGGATAAGATCTGCATTAAAAACATGATTAATTAAGACATATGGGTCTTAATATGTTAAAATAAAGTTTTGGGTGGAAATCCCCTGTTAAAATAATTAAAGACGGGCTTAAAACTGAGTCGGGGTTGAAAACCGGGTAGAAAATGGCAAAATCCGAAGTCAGGAGGGTGACCTCGGCCTTAACAGCCTTAGATCTGAGGTGGGGCTTGGTCGCGGATGCGAATTCAAATAGAAAAGAAAGTTGCGGTCGGTGGCTGCGGTCGGTGGCGGCGGTTGCTGGCTGCGGTCGGTGTCTGCGGCTGCTGGCTGCGGTCGGTGGCTGCTGGTTGCGGTTCAAGGAGGGTTTGGCCTCTATAGGGGGACTTCGGCCTTAAAAGGGGTTTCGGGTCTTTCGGAGTATTTTTCCCGTTCTAACCCCGTTTTAAGCGATTTTTGATCCGGTTAAGGGTCGGGATGACCCGAATGGTTTCAAAAAGTTACGGGAACTTTTGAGAGAAATTTGGGAGAGATTTCAAATAGAAGGAGATAGAGTGAAAACGATTGAGGGAGGTTTCGTTTGTGACCTTTTTGAGTGTCCGGCTTCGCAATGCAAGGTCCGTAAACCCCGTTAAGTCATGTTTTAGTGTCCTACACACTCCCGATGAGTGTGCAATAGTGTTTTATCTTTTTGGTTCATTGTTTAGCATTATCAAGGCTAAGAAAAATTAAACACACGACTTTCCAAATGATGTTTTCTCATTAAAATAGCGAGTTGTTTAGTAATTACATAGAGTAAACCCTAACATACAAGGGTCAACTGAGTTGACCGATTTGACTTGTTGACTTTGACTTGACCGGAAATTGACGATTGTCACATTAGGGGGTTCATTAACATTAGATTTGTTATGGGGTTCATTAACATTAGATTTGTTATGGACGGTGATGGTTCAAAAAGATTTCACAAAGCAACCAAAGCATGAGATTTGGGTATAATCAAGAAATGATTGTGTTATGTTTGATTTAGATTTATGTTTAATCTGGATTTTATATGG